TCTCTTCTGAAAATATATATATATTTTATTTTTTATTTTAATGTATGTCTGAAGCAAGTCTGTAATTATGGTAAATAAGCACATCTTGTGGGTTTGCAGTGTTGTAGACAGAGTTCTAGATCTGTATTATTGCTTCCTGGTATTGAATTATTTAGCACTTTCAAAAATCAGTTTATTAAAGTATTTGCTCAGAAACAGAAGGCATAAAGAAGTTGTACAAGAGAACTTCTAATGAGGCTTTTATCAAATTATATGAGAGTACTTACACAATCATGTGAAATGGATGATGATAAAAATTGTGCATTTTATAGTGACAAATTTTATCAAAGAAACCCACAAGAGTTGAAAGCTTCTGTAACTTTTTTGGTTAAATTTCAATTTTGACATCTTGGGGTCCTGCACCCCTTTTGTTTGTAACATATCAACATTTCTGGTTGTGGTATAGGTGAAAATTTCATTTGAGCGTAAGTTCGTGGGAGCCTTTTCGTTAATCACGATTTAGTGTATTTGGGTTTTAACACAGATGTTGCCTCCAAGTTGCGTATTATGTTTGCCTTTTAACTTTTAAAGATAGGATTTTTGGTTTATTTTGGGTTTTTTGGTTGGCTTTTTTTTGTAACCTCCTCTTAATCTCTAAGCAAGAGGACTTGGTTAAATTATCTAAGGGGACAAATGGGGCACACAGATTCATTCATCTTCACCTGTATTACCTGTCTAGATAGAGCATCAAACTTAAGGTAAATGCAGCAATTTTATTAATTATTTTTTTTTATTATTTATTTAAAAAGTTAAAGGAGCCATGTGAGAAATGTTTTACAACCATAATGCTGCAAACAAACTAAAAGCAAAACAATTCATGTGTGCAGTCTCATGGTTTGCTGATAAGTTGTGATAATTTTTTTTTTGGCTTTGAATAATTCTCAAGATTTTCATCAGAATACGTAAATGTTTTGGAAAAACACATCTCTATCTTGATATTAAGACGTGGAGGGGGGAGGAATATGAGCTTGCAAGAGTTGTGAAGGGATTAAATGGCAAAAGTAGGCACCCAATCACCACTTCAAGTCTTTATATCCTTATTGTAACTGTCTTTGAGAGCCTTATAAATTCAAGTCTGTAAGCACTTACTTTCGGTTTTGAGTGTTCCCAGCAGCATCTTGATCTTGACAGTGCAAGACTGGTGCTTAATTGTCACCTAAGTCCTACTGAGAGCAATAAAACAGTCTTTTCTCTGCTTGTATTACTTGTGGGACTTGATCCAGAACACATTCTGAGATACGACTGAGGGATCATGTTCCACACAAAACACAGGAGATGGTTTGAGGATGGAAGGTTTGAATTAAAATGTCATACTGGTCAGGTGCACTGCATTTCACAGAGTATTGGAATGTGTTGGTGTGATTGCTCTAGTGGAGACTAGTTCTTTCTGAATGGAATTAAAGCATCTCTTGGTGAATGTGTTGTACTTTCATGACTTTTTTTTTTCTCATAGGCTAAGATGAATTATTCTATGGAAAGTGCAGTGCAGTCAATGAGCATGATTCAGGGATAATTGACAATCTAGTACCTAGAGATGCTTAGTCATGATTTGATAGGTGCTGGGCCCAGAATCCTTGGAAAGAAAGGGTTAGATTCCCTTATTTGTTTTAAGTTATTTTAAGAAGGTCCAACAAACCACCAAATGTGAATTCTAAGGGAACAGAACTGCCTTTTTGCAGCTCACAAGTAACTAACTAGATCTTGAAGATGTGCGCTATTTGGGCATATCTTTTCACATCTTGTATAGGTGTAGTAAATTGGTTTTTTAAGTTTTTTACATTATTCTCGGAGGAATAATAGACAGTCGTTTGTCTCATCTTTCCAGGACTAGCTTTAGATATTATTTCCCTGTAAAAGGGGGCACGCTGGATGCTGTTGCAGCATGGGATTGATTTTTCTTTTACAGTTTGGGAATGATTCTCTCTTGTATCCTCCGCTAAATAATGGAAATCATCCTGTTCATGAGGCAGATAGTTCGGAGTGATGTTTGCTGTTAGTATTGTATGTTGTCTGTAACCAATTTTTGCCACTACTTGCCCTATAACACTGTTGAAAATCTTCAGCTTCTTTTCCTGGTAGTTTCAGCACTTTGCTGTTGTTTCCTTGGTTTTATAGGCACTTCACTTTTTTTATTTCTCTTCCCCCCCCCGAAGCTACAATTGACAAAATCATTCATCTTCCATAGCTCATTATTACTTCAGGTCTTGCTGTTAACTACAGTTCCTTTGGCCTCCTGTTGCATTCCATATACATTTTTTTCTTTCACTTTTTCATACAGACCTTGGAAAATATCTCCAGTCTCTTTGTACATTCACAAGCTCAGTCCTCTGAGGATGTACCCTTGTCCCCCTTTCCGTTGCCATTCTGTGACTGTTCTTCCTTCGCTATTCGGTTTCTTTCTATGGCCTGCCTTTCTCAGATTCAGTTAGCCACGTGAGTTCCCCTTTGACTTTCTCCTTCCAATGAGTATGAAATGTTACAGAACTGTCACACTAACAGTAGATGCACATTTGTATCAACATTTTTTTTAAATCTTAAAAGGTGTATTTTTTCTACCTTCACTTCCTACAGTTAATTATCCTTTATTAAAATGGTAGACAATGCTCACAGCTGATGTAAGCAGACTGAAGTAACAAAATTTCATAGCAGTTAGAGCCTTTATTTGTTCTTTTGAAGTATCTATCATTCCATTTAGCACAAAAAATAACAAATATACTGGTGTTTCCAGTAATTCTTATTTTGTATCAAACAACTTGTAAAATTGAGCCTATATCTTCAGCATATAAGCCTTGTTAGAATGTGAATGCTCATTTGTTTGAGAAATGACATGCCATGTCAATGCTGTATTGTAAACTTTTTTACTTATGTCTGAAGCATGGAAAGAGAAGTTAGTGCTTTATTTGAAAGTCAAATTTAGAAAAATTACTGCATGTCATATTTTTTTTTCTTTTTCCCTCTCACTAGAGAAGAAGAATCAACCTCAGCTGTTGCAAGATGTGCTTCTGTTCACAGAAGTGCAAGCAAACTTTTTTTCACAAATTCTGAGTTCTTTTTGTGTACTCTTATTTGGTATTTCCACTATTAGTGATAGTGATATCCTAGGTGCTGTAGCCTTTCACTGTCCTGTTCCCTCATTTTACTTCCATTTAGTTTCACTGTGTTTTTAATGCTTTTCATCTATGTGTTCACATTCATCGTAGCCAGTGTTCTGTCCCTTTATGGGTGAGCATTTCAAACTCACATATATGCACTTTTATGTTTGAATTTTCATGCCTAACTTATGCTCTGTTTCAGAAATGACTGATGAATGCTTATTGTACTTTTCATAATACTCTGTGTGAAATCAGTACCACTTCTTTGCCTTTACTGACATCTAGGACTGCCTTGTCCTGTGTCTGTGCATTTGGTTTATGGTGCTAAAGGTCTCATTTCTTTTTAGCATTGTATATAATTTTACTCATATCACAGAACAAAGAAAACGGAGAAGTTCTGATGAGATTAAATTTTGGTTTTCCAAAGGCATTAATGGTTAAGTATTAATTACTTTTTTTTATGAAAACTTAAAAATGTTTCAAAACATTCTTATTTGTACTTCACAGCACTATGTACACTTTTGAGGCCAGATACATTTTACTACATATATGTTTGTGCTGGAGGAAAATGGACATGCTGCTATGATGCAGACTATGAAAAACTGACGTGATAAGTACCTCTGACATTTTTCTGTGTCACAAGAAATTGGAAGGACCAGGAAAACCACCTTTTTATGGATAGGTGGGGCTAGACAACCAAGTATTTAGGCTATTAGTATATTTTGTCTGGTTAATTGTTTTTTAAGGATAACTCACATGGAGGTACGCAGAAGTACTGTATATATTGCATGTTGGAAATCAGGTATCTGGCAATGCATCATTCACTTTGTAGTTAGTTAAAAATTCATTACAATGATTTTTTTTTTTATTATTTTGACTGGAAATGAAAAGGCAAACAGCAGTGTTATGATATCAACTTTTTTGGCCAGGCTGGAGTGAAAACCAGGTATTCCATCTGTTTCTGTGGTTGAGTGTTCTGAATTTGTCATAAGGAAGCTATGACAGTTTTATAATTTTCTATAGCAATGTCTGTATTGATGTATGGTCAACAGTCATCCTTAATATTCCTGGTTCGGGATCCTTCAGGTTTCTGGGTTGTGACCAAAGCAATGTTGAAGACCCGTTAAAGAGAGCATAGTTCAATACTCTTTCTTTCATCTAGGTATGTGTCCCAGGTTTTACTTTTTCCAGATAACGGAAATACTAGACTTTTTACAGGTCTTAGGCTAGTCTTTAACTTGATAGCTTACATTTGTTTGTATCACCATCTAGTTTACTTAATAATGGTAAATTTTGGCATTATTACCACCAGTTTCTTATATTGCTGTATTCACTAGGATTCTACTCAAGATGACTTGGATGTTCTGCGCTATCCGATCGGGATATGAGATGTAGTCTTGTTTCTAGCTGCTGTGCTTTTGTATTTTTCTGTCATTTTCTGTACTTTTTACAGAGTGCTATTTAGAGCATATTCTGGTGCTTTCATCACCGTAAAGGAGACGACTTCTTCAAAAGCATCTTCTATAGCAGAATTTTTTTTTTTCCCCTGTTTTACGAATATGAGAGAATTCAGTATCAACGAAGTCTTTCTCAGGGCATAGTTTTGTCGTACCTGTTTTCCTTAAGGCCAGGAAGCATTTCTTTGCGGTGTCATTTCTGTTGGATTTGCTTTATAAAATAATCTCTGCTTTTGCATACTCCAATGTTACTAATAATATAAAGTCCTATCCTTTTCTAGTCTCTGGCATGAAAGAGTTATACAAATGCTTGGCAGTGATGATAGTGTTTTTCAGGTATTAAGCACATCCATTTCTGCTACCTCTGTAGGAATAAGTGCTTCAGAGTTGCACATGGCAAACATTGGAAGAAATGTGGGTGGAGCCTTTGAAGGTGATGTGTGTAATGTTGTGAAATGAGTCAGGACTACCATAGTACTTGTCAAGTGCATATCTGATTCTGATTATGGAAAACACAGCAATATGAAACATTACATGTTCAGTATCCGCAGTGATCAACTGGGAGCTCTGTTGTCTTTTCATGTAGATAGCATTTCTGCACTACTATCATCATCATCCAGAGATGTGGTCTTAAATCTATTTTGTATCATGTCAATTAAAATAGTAACTATGCTTATAATCCCCTTGGAAGGAATATCTTGGGATTTTGAAACATGTAATTATGTAAATACTATTAATGAGTGTTTTAAATCTCCTTTGAATGCTAGCAGTAATAAGCTTTCCAGTCACCTTACTCTTTATACTATTGAGAGGTGAGCAAGGTATAAACCAATGTTTTGCTATTGTCATTATGGCTTTGCTTTGACTTCTATTCAAGGTGGTATTAGTTATTTTGTCATTATTAACTAGCTTTGCGCTTCTTCCTTCTGCCAAATGTCTCTGAGTAATGACACTTGTACACAACTAGTGTTGAACTTTGGTATGACCAGTCCTTGAGAGCTCTGTGTGTCATCAGGTATTACTTTCCTTTGATACCAAGACACTGTGGCAACTCAGGAAATACTTTGGAGTACTTTATAAAGGAAAAGTATCAAAAGAATTTTTTAAAACCTTTTAGATTCCATACAAGAAAGAAACTCTTTTGTAAAAGGTAAGAGCTGTTACTGTCTTGGAAACTTGAAATGCAAGGAGAGTACAGTGTTCCACAGTTCATTAACTAATGCTTCTTCAGAAGCAGTAGCTACTGCTAAATTGGTTTCAATTTACTCTGAATTTTTCAATTTATTGAGATGGATCTCCATTGGTAGAACAAACCTTTATACTCAGTCTTGCTCATAGGCTTTTATCTATCTACCTGACAAGGATATACTGTAGATGGGCAAATACTGGTGGAAGACTTAGCACTTCAATGTTTATCTGTTCCAGAACTTCATAGGGATATTTCCTTAGAAAGAAACAAAACCAAACCAAACAATCTTTTAATCTCTGGTTTCCCTGTGACCTCTGCCATTTGAGGCTGTAAACAATATTTTCATTGATAAATCCTGAAGTTTTTTGGGTATTGATCTTGCTGTTCTGTAGATGGAAGGGGACATTTTGGGCTTAAAGCTGAAAATTGGTCAAACGTCAGGTGAGAATGTAAGGCAGGAAAAGCCTTCTTGGTACTGAATCTTAGTTCTGTATCCACTTTGTGGCTGCATGGGAGACTTGGCACAACTCTATCCATCCCCCAGAAGAAAAGTGAGGGAAGGCTGCAGGGCATTTATCTGAAGTTTGTGTACTGTAGAAATGAAGTGTGACAAAGTAAATAAGGGGAAAGCTGCTGCTGAAATGACTGTATGAAATGGAAATATGGAATTTTGCTAGTGTGATGTTCGCACTTTTAGGTAAAGACAGGATTTTTAATTTACCTTTTTTTTTTTTTTTTTGAAGTACTGATACAGTTTAATTTCTACACCTGTCAAAATACACAAATTGTTATAACAAAGTCAAACATTTTAACCTTTTTTATCATTACTTGTAAATAGTATGAAGAATGCATGTGTGGCTTGGGTGTTCTGTCTGTGTGTCAGTGTCCTGGGTTCAGACAGTCAGTGTGCTGGCAGTCATGAACCCGAAGAGGATATCAGCTTTCAGTTTTATGTAAGTCTGTTGCAAAATTAAAAAGACAGACTTGAAAGCATACTTAAATTCTAAGTTACATCAATATCTGTAAAAGGAAGGTGTTGTACAGGTTTAATTTTTTTTTAAATATCCATAAGCCTACCATAATTATACCTTTTTTTTCTACACAGGCATTTGTAAAGGATGTGCATGAAGATTCAATAACAGTTGCATTTGAAAACAAGTAAGTGTATTGCTTCTGTTATACCTATAGATGTTAGAGTATCGATCCTGCATTTAATTAACCTAAATGTAACTTAATAATGTAGAGTAGTATCTTTTAGATAATCTAAGCTTACTGCTAGCATGTTTTAGAATTATGTTTGATATTTACTGTGTTGAGACATTTCTGTAAAACTGCTTTTAATAGTTCAAATATATTTAGGTACAAAACACAGTAACATGGGTTATGTTGGGAAGATAGGCATATTATTGAATTTACATGAGGACAAACCATGTGTGAATAAGTCAGCAGTGGTACATGACTGCCTCTCTCATGTTAATGTCTTATTTTAGGTAAAATGGATTTTGTTATTACAAAATATGTTCTCTAGATAAGTAATAATAAATACCTGTTGTCTAAGCTAGAAATGAAATTATGTTCCTTTCCCATCATTCCAGAGCATAAAAAGTCGACCTTCCATTATAACATTTATTTCAGGATTCATTTCCTTCAGGAAGGAAGTAACACACTGCTATCCACATTTTGTTGTGAATTTTTTTATTATGGCATCATCTATTGTAATTTGGAAATTGTTTTCTAGTTTCTTTAAAAATAATTTTTTCTTGTCATGCTCATTTTATGCAGTCTCTGTTAAAGAAACGGAAAACTAAAGCTGTATTCAGGCTGAATCATGATCAGGTTTTCATAGTGTATAGTAGAATCAAAGAAAAAGAAGAAACAGGCTTGTTTTGAAGGAAGTGCCCAAATGTGTTAGGAAATGTTTTTCAACCTGTGTTGAGGTTAAACCTGTAAATGTAAATAGAGTAAGAACTACTGCTGTCCGGTTTCATAACAATGCAGGTAGCATGAGGGATTCACTTAAGGTGCACTTAAGGTGCATAATGGTCATTTTGGTGTGTTTTTCCTCATATATACATTGGACCTTTAATTCATGTATGTACAAAAGTTCCACAAAATTTAAGAAGGTAAAATGAATGGATTGAAAATGTTTGATTTCTATTTACAAAGAAGGTGAAAATGTTAAAGGCCATTCACTGTATTTTTATTTGTAGCTGGCAACCAGAGAGACAAATACCATTCCATGATGTGAGGTTTCCACCACCTGCGGGCTATAATAAAGACATAAATGAAAGTGATGAAGTAGAGGTATGTTAGAGCCATTAACAAAATTTGTGTTGAGAAGTGAGAGAACGCGGGGTGAAAAATGTCAGCCAGGCCAGTGGAAGGTTTGCTTCCATGTTATGTGCTGTCACCTTTTTTGATTCCAAGTACTACATAAAACACAATGTCAAGCATGTCAACAAAAAGATTTTGACCTACAGCCATTGTGGAATTCCATGTGCTGTGACCTTCGTGCTGAATTACAGACATGATCAGAGCTTGGTTACAGATCAGTTCTTTATCAGAACTGAATTAGTCTAGAAATAAATGCCATGCTGTAGTTCTTCAGCTGTAACTTAGTAAAGCCTCTATTACCAAAATTTCAAGCTGAATGAGATAATTTGTATTATGGGTGTGTGTACATAAAATATGAAAATATATGTGAATATGTAAATACTTACATGTAAAGTGGGACTGGCTTTAATGCAGCGCATTCCTAAAACTTGTTTTACAAAATGATGAAGTTGATTCTTGTAATTACTTTAAAAGATTTACAGTTTGTTTGCACACTGTTTAAAGTTAATTCGTAGTTAAGAAAAAGGCAAAACTGCTTTAGCACATATATCTGGCGCATCCACTCCAAAGAAGTGTAGATGTCTCCTTCCCCATTCCACCCACTCCTGGGACCTCATCAGACCTATAACAATTAGAAATATTGTTGATTAAATATTAACAGATATAAAAGGCTGAATTCTTTTCTCTGACTGTATGCAAGACTGAAGTAACTAATGCTAGTTAGTTAGTGGATACAATATTATTTATCTATACAATCTTACATATGTAGTTTTATATCCTACCTGTATTTGCAGTAGACATTTCAGCTGTTAGGTGCTTGCTCTGTGGTACTTAGATTAGAGACTTTATGTACCAATATATTTAGCTGGATTTTGTTCCTATAGCAGAGCTCCTGATCGTATTAGTTAATGTCAGCTTTTGCGATGCCTTCTAAAAATGCTACAGATAAGTAATTATTTATTTTGTTTAGGTTTATTCCAGGGCAAATGAAAAAGAACCCTGCTGTTGGTGGTTGGCTAAAGTGAGAATGATAAAGGGTGAGGTAGGAATATGCATATGTATATATATTTTATATTTATGTATACTTTATTATGTTATTTTCTAAATATTGATGTTCACAGTGTTTTTAACTTGTCCCTCTTCATTTTCAAATGGTTTCTTGACTAGGGCTGTTGTAATTACTATTAACCTCGACCTGAAAGGTTCAAATTTGAATTAGCTAACAAAAAGGTCTTGTACCAAATAGTGTAATACTCACTCTTGTCATAAAATGTGTGGCTTGGATGATTTTATTATTTTTATATCAGTTCTACGTAATAGAATATGCAGCCTGTGATGCTACCTACAACGAAATTGTCACAATTGAGCGTTTGAGGTCTGTGAACCCCAATAAACCCGCAACAAAAGATACTTTTCATAAAATCAAGCTGGCAGTTCCAGAAGATTTGAGGCAAATGTAAGTACATGTAATTCTTTATAACTTATTTAAGGTTTATTTAAGGTAACTTCTCCAGCCTGAGACAGGAAGGAATAAAAATGCTTTTTACTGCTCTAGATTAGTTTTTAAAACTTTCATATAAGACTGTTAAAAATACAAATGTGGACATGCTCATAATTCAGAAATTGAAAGGATGATTTTCAAAGAGCCCTGGAGGAGGGAATACTTTCTTCAAGGTTTTAAGGTTTTTGTGCAGTACAGGTTAAGATTTTTAATCTTGCAGCTGTTCAGTGATGTTCACAGATTAACCTATATCCATTCTTTTTCAAATTTATTAATTTGAAGTGGTCGCTCGTTCACTGATAGAGTATTTGGCAGTCTGTGCAAGCTGGTATTTAATAACAAAAGAAAATACTGTCTTATATTTTAGGGCATAATGCATTTTGATGATGGGTGTGGGAATAGTTGTGCAGTAATCAAACCTGCTGAAGCAAGTTACAGAAACAGCTGGTTTTCTCTTAGAACACAGACGTGTTGTTCTGTTATAAATATAGCTCTAAAACTCAGATTAATACTGACTCCCACTTTTATCTTCAGATCACTTTCTGGTTTTTTTTGAGGTACATCTATTGCCTCAATGTGTAATGAGCTATGAATTCACGTTAAACTAAGATTTCTGAAGTTAATGTTATTGTAATCAGTTTCACTAGTAGTGAATTAGTATTCTGTAGTAGCAAATGGACAGAAGCCTGGAGAGGCAAAACACAGCATTAGATTGCTGCAGTGCTTACAGTGAAGTCGCACATCATTCTGATTAATGGTGCATTTGGAATTTTGGACTTGCTGATTGTTAGCAGTTACAGCTTTTATTAAAAAGCTGTAGAGTTGCTTAACTGGTTTGTCATTTCATAGATAAATACAATGAAAATATCAGAAATATTTCTTATCCTACTCATGTGGAAAGAAATGTAAGAAAATTGAGTAAAATGATAACAGAATAAAATAACACCTGCACTAAGAAAGAACAGGATATATATATATTCTTTGTATTAATAAATTCATCTTTCTGGCTGTGAACCATAAATGCAGTGGTTATTATTTTTAACTTTGGATTGTTTTTATTTCTAGGTGTGCCAAAGAATCTGCACATAAGGACTTCAAAAAGGCAGTTGGAGCTTTTTCTGTAACATATGATTCTGAAAACCACCAGCTTATTATTTTGGTAAGTACCAGTATCTAGCCATATCATTTGTAGTGATTTGTTTCAAAAGTTCATGTGTAAACCACTGTGTTTTCTTTCTTCTTACTAATAATTTAGTCAATTAATGATGTAACAACAAAGCGGGCAAATATGCTGATTGATATGCACTTTCGAAGTCTTCGTACCAAGTTATCCCTGATCCTGAGAAATGAAGAAGCGAGCAAGCAGCTGGAGGTATGTTGCTTATTTTCCTTGAAGTATTTTGAGTTTAAAAAAAAAATACATATTTTTTTTTTAAATACTTACGCATTTCTTAGCTGTTAGGACTTGCATTGGGGTGAAAGTAATTATTATGTACTGATACTATTCTTGGTGTTAAAAAGAGGCAGATGAAGATGGAACATAATGGAGTTGTTTATGGTTAAAAGGCCTGTTCTTTGAAGACTCATTTTTGTCCAATCCCATTTTATTCAGCAAGATTTTGTGGGGGGTTTAAACACACACGCACACACACATATATATACACACACACACATACACGTGTATCTCTTTAATAGTTTGAGCATAAAATAACTAACCATTGTTGTATGAACAGTGCCACAGGTTTGGTAGCTTTGCGTTACTGTTTTTAAAAATGGATGGGAGTGAATATGACATGATACTGAGAGGAACTAGCACTGGATCTTGCAGAATGATACAGTGAAAATGTGAGATGGAAGGGGTGAGACTGATGTTGGTAGGATGTTCAAAGGGATGGGTTTGTCTATAGATAAAATGTTAGGAAATCATCTTGCAGCAGATACAGCTTCTGATATTCCTGTGACTGGAGAGTGGGTGTTGACTGGCAAGGAGCTTGACTCATACTTGTCCATGGGAAAAAAAAAGAAAGAAAAAGTGTAGGCTAGGAAATAAGGGGATCTTTATACAGTAGAATTAACATTTCTTCATGGTTTTTCTCCTATCTACGAATCAGAAAAAATAGCAGCATTTCTGAGAACTTCTTTTTAGGTTCAGTGTCAAGAACTAGAAGTACTTACTCAAACTATTGTAATTGTTTTACATGGGTGTATAGCAGCTCTGTTACTTCAGAACCAGGTTTCATTCCCCCCTACACCCCAAAGGTTACCTCTGTTTGGTTTTAGCTTGAAGTGGAGTGTGGTGTAGTAGTTCAGGCCTCTTGTATCCAGTAAGTGCACTCATTGTTACATAAAGCTCTCTTCTGCTTTTCTCTTTTAGTCTATTGATTTCTGTATTTCAGAGGTGTAATCCAAGTTTGATTTGGTCTTGATTTTTCTCAAGACCAAGAAAGGAGCAGTTTCTTCTCTTCAGTGTTCCTTTTTGAACACTCCACTGTAGCTCTTCAGTAATCTATTCTTCTGTCTTCCTCGAGAACTGACAATTGTGTGGGTAGTTTACCTCTTGAAGTGCAAAGTGTTATTTTGGGGGTGGGAAGAGCAACAGTCTCCTTAGAGCTAATTCTCTTTACATGCCCCCACAAATGCATGCACCAACAGCTGTTGTCATTGATTCCTTTCCCAAACTAATCTTCGATTCTTGCTGTCATCGTAAGGCTGAACCTTTTTGCTCCTGTGAGGGACTCAAGAACTTGATTTGGTTCTCACTATAAACTACTATTGGACTTCTGTTTCTACCTGAGCAGTAGTTATGTGAAGATTGTGAGATAAATATATATGTGGTTATAATTTGCATGACAGAAGTTGGCTGGTATCTTTCATGGTCGCATTTGTGTTTTCCTGTACTTACAATAAATATATAATCAATTCAACCCAACCTGAAAAGCTTCAGGTAGTAAAAATCATGCTTAATGATTTGAGACACTGACATACGAACAGGCAGCACATGTCCATCTCCAGAGGAAATACTTTGTGAATGCTTTGGGCTTTACTACGGCATTACTATTAATAGTTCGTTGTTTCCATCAATCTCTTTTCTGTGTTTAATACTGTCTGAACTTTAAATGTCTGCCTCTGGTTTTGTGGTTTGTTTTTTTTTTTTTTTTTTTTTTTCTTCTATCAGTTTTACCTTTCTAAGCCATAATCACCAGACCGGCTTCCTTTTGGTTGGTTGGTTTTCTTCTTTTTTTTCCTTTTGTTGTATCTTGTGCCTTCTTTCTTCATATTAGCTTGACTTGCATGGTTTTCAAACATGGCTTCTAGAGCATCAAGTGAAAAAACAAATTGGTTTTTGTTTGCATTCTTTCCCACTAGCTGTGGCTTACTTGGTTTTTTGACATACTAAAAAGCTTGAATTTACAAGTGTAGTTTTGCATTCTGGTTTGTATTTTATTCTATTAAAATGCAGTTCAGTCCTGGCCTCTAAGTAGGTAGGGATACATTATTTGCATAGTTTTTTGTAACTTATTTATTGGATGTAAGCAGAATACATTATTTCCTATGTTTAAAGAAGACCTATCTTGTAGTACTATGTAACTTGCACTAAAATATTAGCTTTTCTGTAAGTAATATAACTACAGACTGTCATAGCGAAGCTCCCCAGTGATGATGTAGCTTCATCTTTTCTACATATTGTAGATGGCAGTGTTAACCAATCATTGACTTGATCAGCCTGTTCTCCACTCGGATGTGTGCAGTCTGTAGCAGATGCCAACTAGTAAATTGTCATTTGGATGATCTGTTAGAATGTAGATCTGTGAGCATTTACAATAATGTTTGCTTTCTGAGTTGTCTGTAATCTAGTTAATAAAGTACTTGATAGAGCTTTCTGTCTATATGAAGCATTTCATGACACTTGGTTGCTTGTACAGTTATCCACTGTAGCCAGTTCTCTGTGACAGTGATTTAGTATAGGATCTTTATCAACAGCTTTAAGCAGGAGCAGGTCAGGTAACAGTAGCAATTTAGCTGGGATAGAGTAGGGCTTATTATGGGCACTGCTGATGTTTTCCCAGCCTCTGTTGGATCTCATGTTGCTGAGGTTAAACTGCTAATTTAATGTGTGCTTGTATATGTCTTCACAGTAGTTAAAGATTTGATTATGATGCAGAATCATGTGTAGGATTGTATATTTTGGCTCTAGAAAGGTCACATAGAGCTTTATTTTTTAAAATCTTTTTTTCTTCCTTGTAAAGCACTCGTTCCATTTTACTTAATAGGTTGTCACAGTTAGAAATTAATAGCATGTGACAATCTCAAATTTCCAGATTGACCCTTTTGTCTTGGTTAGAAGTGTGACTCCTGGATGAAATTCTTAACATACTTGTTCTCTAAATTCAAGTAGTGTTGTAGTTACACTGTAAATTTGTGTTGTCTTGCATAGGCACGGATTCTTCATTTTATAAGTGCAGTATATATCCATAGTTGCTGTGTTTTCTATATAATTTGTGTCCAGTGATTGAGTTACTGATGTTTCCCATTACCTGTTGAAATGGGTGCAGTTTTTTTCTCAGAGATCATTTGGTTTGCTTTAATAATTAACACAGCTCCTATTTTACATGAATGCTGTCTTACCTAGTAACACTTATGACCTGTAGATATTCTGTGGTAATTCGAAATACAGAGGTGTCAATGCAGCTAGAGGCTACCCTTATGTTAACGTTGAAAAGGTGATATTAGGACTTCTGAAGAAGACACTTCAGTGCTTCTGAAGTGAAAATAAGTGCCTTTAAAGGATTGATTAAAATAAAAAGTAGGCTAAATACCTGATAAAAGAATTGGCTCTAAATTTATGTTTATTTTTCTCTCCAGTTCACTAAAAATTAAAGTAAGCTAACATTATATTTTTCTTCAGAGTTCTAGACAACTTGCGTCACGATTTCATGAACAGTTTGTTGTACGTGAAGACCTAATGGGTCTGGCCATTGGCACTCATGGTGCTAATATTCAGCAAGCCAGAAAAGTCCCTGGAGTAACTGCTATTGATCTTGATGAGGATACTTGCACATTCCATATTTATGGAGAGGTAAGTTCCCTTGTTTAGCTTTTCAAAAAAACCCAAACCAACAAAAACACACTTTGGAAAATGGATCTTGTTTCTGTCATACATCTATCTATTTTAGGATCAAGATGCAGTGAAAAAGGCAAGAAGTTACCTTGAATTTGCTGAAGACGTCATACAAGTTCCCAGAAATTTAGTAGGTATGTCAATTCTGGAGGCTGTGTGATGAAAAATGCTTTCTGACAACTGTTTTTTCTTCTTTTAGAAGGATGACAGGGTACAAGTTTGAAGAAGTTCTTGTTGTGAGAAGGTTCTAGGTGGTACAGAGTTTTGAGGTGTGGGGCTTTTTTGCTTTGTTTTCCAGTTTCATGCAGGCTTTTTATGGACGCATTCGACTTGAGTACATTGTAGAAATTACCTTCTGTTTTGCAGTTCAGGGATATTTTAAACTAGAAGCAATGTGATGATGTTTCAGTACCAGGTAGAAAAGCTTCTGCATTGAGCCAGAGAATTAAATTACTTCCTCCAAAGGTGTCCAGAGATTAGTTCAGCTGTACAGCAGATGAATCTGCAGTCTCATATTTTCCTAGTATGTTTTGAATCACCTCAGTTCTGAAGCTGATTTAAAATCAGTAGCTTTTTTGTCCTCACTCCCTCCTGATAGTACTAGTGATAAAATAATGATGGCAGCTTATCATTTCTACTTAACTTGAGGTTTTAAATCATTTGTTTCTGTTTTCTGTTTAGAACTTTGCAATTTTTTCTGTTTCAGCAGAACTCTGCTTCTTGGCCTAGATCCTTTAGAATATAAAACTGGCTGAACCATATGTTAGATCCAAAATAAACTATGTTAGATAATTTCCTTTTTTAATTAGCGAGAAAACTAATAATTTGCTTCAAAAAGGAAGAAGCCTTTTTTCCTTTTACTACAGTATTGATAAGCTGAATCTTTGTATAAAGTGAATGCATCTGGTTTTTTCTACTTAATTATTCTTGAAAAAACTTCAAACCAAACAACAACAAAAAAACCCCACCCCTAAACAAAAACCCCAACATAAACAAACAAAACCCACTACCCAAGATGTTGCTTTTTTTAAAGGCTCCATGGAAACTTATAACCTGAAACATGGGTTAAAAACATACGCATCCAGTCCTTAATGATTTTTTAAAGATTTTATGTATGTTGTCAAACGCTAACTAAAACCAATGCAGGATTTTTTTAATTTTTATTTTATTTTTTTTAAATCACTACCAGTGCTTTTTTACATTCCTTAGTAAGCTGCTGTTACATTTGGCAGCAAAGTGTAGTGAAATAAAGTACTTGGAAGAAGTTTTTTGATTCTCAGACCAGCCTTTGTGATCAGTGAAGAACTTACTGGTGATTTTTTTTGTCATGTTTTCTACAAATACGAGATTTAAAAATTCACAGTAGAAAAATTGAAACACAAAATTAAAATGTATTTAGTTTGAACAATAGGAACAATGTCCCATGTGAATAAAAGTGGGCTTTAATTTCTCTTCATGGATTAATTGTATCATAAAAACAATAGCAGTCATTCACTCATTATTTTTGCCTTTATTCAGTGATGTGCCTATGGAAAAGATTATGTTGCAAGTTTTCAGCAGTTTTGTTTACATAAAAATTCACTTTTCCTACCTGTAGAAAACATTATCTACATGGTTCCCGTAAGCTTTTCTTTAATGCTGTGATTCTATGATACGGCCTTTCCTCATTACCTCCCAAGAGCTCAGTTTTCCTCTAAGTTTTCAGACAGCAAGTTGTGTTTCTGAGGTTGGAGATAACTAAAGTTTTCATTTTCATTGCCTCAAATAAGAATATCCAGTTCCTAAGATAACTGTATGCATTACTAGCATTAGAATATAATTTATTTCCATTTTTGTCTTTGACTTTTTAGTGAATTGTAAGCTACTTGAATAAAAGCTCAGTTTCAGAGAAGAAAATTTTACATGTGGCTCAATCAGTATCTTCAGTAGTATCAGAAAACTTCACCTGATTCAACTAAAACTTTTGTAAAGGAGCTGAGAGTTTTGCTTTGTTCCCTACCCAAAAGGTAGTTACAGCAAGTATGAGAACAGTTGGCAACATAGTTTAGTGGTGGACTTGGAAGTCCTGGAGTAATGGTTGGACTTAATGATCTTAAAGGTTTTTTCCAACCTAGTTGATTCTGTGATTGTATGATTGTGGTTTTGGATTTGGTGAATTTGGTTTTTTAAGTGCAATCAGCAATGTTTATTTGTAAATCAGTAAAGTTATTTTAAACCTACCAAAGCAAAGCCAAATTATGTAAGATACTTAATATTTCTATAATCAAGGTACATAATTTCAATTTTATACAAAGATAAGGCATTTGTGCTTGAATTTCCTTTTTTCTCTTATAGGATCTTTTGAAAAAGAAGGAAGCCATACACATTTGAACTTTAATAATAAAGTACCTCTCTTCCTGTATGCTACAGTGGTTGCTTTGGAACATTACCAATGTTAACACCACAAGCTTACTTAGACGTTTTAGTTCATGGCTTGTTAACTAAATCTTTGTTGTGGAGTATTAAGTAATTTTTGACAAGTTCTTGCACTGGTACTAACTACTGTTGTTTACTTAGAGAACAGTAATGCTCTCAGGTTTGGAGGGAAAACTAAAGGTGGAATGTTGTGTATGTTTTGTTTTTGTTTGTTTGTTTTTTCCTGTAGGAAAAGTAATAGGAAAAAATGGAAAACTGATTCAGGAGATAGTGGACAAATCTGGTGTTGTAAGAGTGAGAATTGAGGCTGAAAATGATAAAAATATTCCACAAGAAGAGGTATGTTTTTCAGTTTCCATGTTTAGATTTAAAGGATTCAGTGCTATGTCATATTTAATTTCTAATGATAAACTTTTGCAGCATAAAATTCTTGAATTAGCTTAATAAGCAAAAGGGTGCTATTATTGCTGCAGGCCAAAACTTTCAACATTTTAATGTGTCAGCCTACGGGTTAATACGAGGGTAAAAGAACAAGTAGTCACAGCTGCAATTAGTATGTTAGGTTTTCTTTTTTTCTTCAGGCTTGAAAAAGCTTATTATTTGATGTTCTTCAATCCAAAATGCTGCTTTTAAAGATAAACTTGAAAGGTTTTTTTACCTGCCAAGTTCTGCATTCATACTTCTGTCTTGCCTGTTAATGACATTGCTAACACAGGCATTGCTTGTACTGCTTCACGTGTTAGTTGTGTCATGCCAGGAGCAGCACAGAAAATTGAGATCAGATCTTGGCAGGTAAGAGTTAGTTCTTGTAAGTTTACTTGTATTTCATATTTGAAATAAATGTGCATTAATCTTCCCATGGGTGAACTTTGATATTACAGCTCTTCTTTTTTTTTTTTTTTTTTTTTTTTTTTTTTTTTTTTTTGTAAAGAGCAGTAGTTAAGTTTTAAATTTTAATACAGCATTGGGTTCTTTTTCATATGACTGAGATGTTTGGATACTGACCATAAATTTCAGGTGCAATTTCATAAATCCCATAATTTTTTATCAGGCTCTTAGGCTTTTCATCTTTTTAAAATGATAGGTACTGCTTGTTAGGGTAGTATATATTTATTTTTATCTGTATATTTTGTATTCACGTAAGGTCTGCTCAGCATTCACTGCTGAAACCAAGTTGAAGATTGGTACTTTTGCTTTAATGACAGAAATGAAGTTCAATAAATAAGCACTTTGATGCTTTCATATGGCTAAAATTGCTTGACTTTGTTACCAGCTCTCATTCTTCATAGTCAGTGTTGCTATACCTAGAATCCACTGCTAAATGTAATGACAAGCCATTTCCTTAAATCCCTTTTCAAGTCAGTTGTCTTGTGATCTTCTAAAAATTTATACCATGTACTGGTTAATACCAGTTCAGTAGTAGTTTCATTGCTCTTTATCAGGTTGTATTAAATATTTATGAAACTTAAAATACCCCAGATAATAAAACATTTCAATCAACAGTGCCTGTGGCCAAAGTATTTATAATGCTTATGAAAGTTTTCTTAGGATTATAGGACTGTGTAATGTTGGTTTTTTCCTTATTTAATGTGTAAGATCTAACAAGTTTTTTGTATCTAAAAGAGGGGAGGGAAAAAAGAGACAAATTACAGACGTACCACTCTTAGGAAACGTCAGCAATACTGTGCATGTAAAATTTTTTTGAGGTATTTGTGTCTCAATCCACTCTTGATAATTAACTCTCCTTTGGAATGCAGTCCTGTCAAGGGTATGTGTACGGTTAAGATTAAAGGTGTCTTTAGAGGTCATGATGAAATACCAAACCAAAATTTAAGTTAATTGAGTAGTCGTAGCTAAGCTCTGGGTCTGCAAGGCTGTAGGATTCAGCAGCTGAGTGTTTTATGAGGCTTTCAGGTTGACTTTTGCAGGCCACAATGAAGCTTACACTGCTATGGTGAGGGTGCAGCTGGTACAAGAATCAAGTACTTTAAAGCTGGCTCATTGGGTCTGTGTGGGCTGCAGTCACACCTCTGAAATGCTGCACAGACCTATTTTAGTGTCGTGAGTTTTGGTTTGGAAATTATCCTTGTATCTGCTGAAGTTGTTTTCTGCACTTAGGAGGGCCCTTTTAGGTAGGTATCTTGGCATGCTTTGCCCGCCTAAGTTAGTCTTTAGGTTTGTTTTCTCCAAGTGCCAATTTTGGGCATTAGAATTTCTAGCTGTACAAAATGCTTGAAAGGTTAAAGAAATGTAACTTAGTAATTGTTACCTGAAGTACTAACTCTTTCTTGAATATTTTTTTTGTTTGCCTTTTACAAATTGAGAATCTTCAAGAAGGATTGGTGTTAATTTGATTTAGCTTTTTAAAAACTCAAAGGTTTCTTTACTGACATGTAGATTGAAAGAACCTGGTATGAGAGCAGGAGTGTGATCAGCAAAGGTGGTATTAAGTTTGAAGGGAGGAAACCTGAAGTGGTTTGAATTGACTCTCTTAAAATTTGTTGGGAAGAATTGTTGGCATTGTGATGCATATGATCTAAATTTTCATATTAAAAAAAAGCTCTTTGCATAAGGGAATTAATCTACATGATCGAGCCAACATTGAAATTTAAATATACTGTTGCCTCATTTATTTTAATTTATGCTTATTCATATTGTAAAAATTGTTTTCAAGTTTTACAGTAATGTTTGGTTCTCATCAATATTTGATGCTTAATAACCATAAGACTACTGTTGCTGTGTTTTAGGGAATGGTACCATTTGTGTTTGTGGGAACCAAGGATAGCATCACTAATGCAACTGTTCTTCTGGATTATCATCTTAATTATTTAAAGGTGAGGAAAATGATACTGCTTTGCCACTGAACTTTTCTGTTGGTGCTTAATATGGTAACAAGTTGATGACCAAAATCTGTTTGGGCCTCAAAGGCTCTTACAACAGGTTTTCACTGTAAGAGTCTTCTTGTAAAAGTCACCCTTTAATAAAAGAAGAATTTGTCTGAAGGATGAGGGGGAAACCCATTTTTTTTTTTTCAGAACACGAAATGGAATATGAAAAAATAAATCTATCTCAAACTGCTGACAACTTTATATACAAGAAATAGTTCCTCATGCAACTGCAAAGCAAGCAGCGTTATAATGCAGAGATCTTGTATACAGTGGGCATTGCATTTGAAAACCCTAAACTTCTTTTTCTGTAGGTAATTGCCATTTCATACTTGTGGATGTTTTAGAGGCAATTCAGCTTTATAAGTTTTGTTTGCCTCTTGGCTCTGTAACTTCTCCATTAGTTGGCAGTACTTGTCCTTTGTGTAGGGAGCAAAAAATATCCCACATTATTGTTTACAATTACTTTTGATGATACTTACTATGGCAAGGTACCCAGTCTTTGGCAGGGCCAGATGCTAATAGCAGAGACTGCTTTGACTTCTTTTAAATATATTCTTTCAAGTGTTCTGAAAGTTCCAGACCATTAACTTGATACATGTCTCATCTGTGCAGTAGCTACCATTGAAGCTTTCAGAATGCTAAACTTTCTGTACATAGCTAAAGGAAACTTTTCAGAACAGGTATCAGAGCAGCTAGAAGAAGAAACTACTTTTATTTCCTGCTCAATAATTATACCTTTTTAATTCTGCATGCAGTTTGGAGCAGAGATAAAGCAGGTCCTGAACCCTATGGTTCAGTTTCAGAATCATGTTGTCCAGTTCACTGACAGGAAGTGGAACTGACTCCAAGCAAAGTTTATTAAGAAAACTTATTGTAAAAGATACACAGTAAGACATCAATATCAAATTAGCGGTTTTCTGTAAAAGAATAAAGCAGACTTGGCTGGAGCAACTCTTCTGTAGTGACATCCTGAGAGGAAGGAGAAAGACTTAATACCAGGATCACATCCCCAGACTTCAGGAGAGTAGACTTTGGCCTGTTCAGAGATCTGCTTGGAAGAATCATATGGCATGCATTCCTACACAGAAAACGGGTCCAGGAGGGCTAGCTGGTATTTAAAGAACCACCACCTCCCAAGTTTAAAAATAGTCCATCTTGATATGTGGACAGTCACACAAAAGCAGCAGGAGGCCTGCATGGGTGAACAAGGAGCTTTTGGCAGAATTCAGATACAAAAAGGAAGCATACAAGGAGTAGAAGTAAGGACGGGTGACCCGGGAGGAGCATAAAGACAATCTGAATTTGCAGGGATGAGTTTGGGAAAGTTGAAGTCCATCTACAGCTGAATATGGCAAGGAATGTGAAGGGCAACAGGAAGGGCTTCTAGAGGTATATTGGCAGCAAAGGGGCAATTACAGAAAATGCAGGCCTGCTTCTGAATGGAGTAGGGAACTTGGTCACAAAGGATGGCATTCAGTACCTCATCCTTCACTTTTTTAGTTGATAAAATTTATCCTGCAGAATAGCAGGCCCCTGAAACCAGTGGGAGGGTCTGGACCAATGAAGAAATACTTCCTAAAGGAGGATTGAGTTAGGGAACATCTTGATTAAAAAAACAAGGAATATGCACAAATCAGCAGGGCCTGATGAGATGCAGCCCCAAGTGCCACAGGATTTTATCTAAGGCCTGGCTGAATTATGTGACCTCGAGAGGTCCCTTCCAATACCCCATTGAAAGTTCCATAAATAGCTGGGGAAGAAAAAAAAGCGGTTGCTACTTTTTGGTGTTAGCTAGACAGCATCTCAAACTGAGAAGAGTGCTCTCTGAATTTGTGTAACTGAATAATTGTTTGTGTTTATTTCCTCTAGTGGTTGTGTATGGTAAGAATTCTGTGGGCTGGCTGACTTTTTATGACAATTACAGCACTTGGCTCTCTATGCTTCCTCGCATCCCTAGTATTACTAATAATTTAGTAGAATTTAACAGCAGTGTAACCACTAGCCCTTTTTATTAAACAACAGTACTACATCTTAATTGTTTAGTAACTTTGATATTTATTACGTGCAACAATCTAAGAACGTGTCTGAATTTAAAAAGTTTATGCCATGGATACAATGCTATAAATGAATGATACTACTGTCTTCAAAAAGTGTGTTCATTTCTCTGGTTAAAGAATGTTTAATTTAAGGCTAAAGATCTCATAAATTTAATACCAAAGTCCAGCTAATTGTATTTCCTGAAATCTGAGTGATTTTTCTTGATATATGTATTTTAAACAAACCTGAACTTGCAAACTATGCCAGGTTTTGGTAGCAAAAGATTTGAACTTTTGAAAGTTTTGGGGTTTTTGTGGTTGGTGTTTGTTTGGGTTTTTTGGGTTTTTTTTTTTGTAAACAGTTTATTCTCAAAGCCAAGTTACTACCATTGCAACACATAAGAGCTCTTTGAGAACAGTGGGTCTGCACATTCAGATGATTAAATAGTGGTTACATACAACTTGCAATGCTCGTGTTTGTGTAGGAAGTGGACCAGCTGCGTTTGGAAAGATTGCAAATTGATGAGCAGCTTCGACAGATTGGAGCTACTTCTAGGCCACTACCAAACCGTACAGATAAGGAAAAAGGGTACATGACTGATGACGGTCCAGGACTCGGACGCGGTAGTCGACCTTACAGAAACAGAGGGCATAGTAGACGTGGTCCAGGTTATGCTTCAGGTAAGTAACTGGAAGTACGCTGACAGTTTTAAAAGCGGCCTGTTGGACTTCTGATTTCTTGAAAAAAGACTGGACTTGGAAACAGAGCTGTCAAAACAAGTTCAGTTAATATTGAATCATAGAATGATTTGCTTTACAGAGGATCTTTAAAGCTCATCTAGTTCCAACCCCCTGCCCATGGACAGGGACACCTTCCACTAGAGCAGATTGCTCCCAACCTGACCTTGAACACTGCCAGGGATGGGGCAGCCACAGCTTTTCTGGGCACCCTGTGCCAGCACCTCACCACATTCACAGTAAAGACCTTCTTCGTAATACCTAATCTAGATCTACCCTGTCAGTTTAAAGCCGTTCTCCCTTGTCAATAGTCCCTCTCCAGTTTTCCTGTAGTCCCCCTTTAGGTACTGGGAGGCTGCTGTAAGGTCTTCCTGGAGCCGCCTTCTCTCCAGACAGAACAAGCACAGCTCTCTCAGCCTGTCTCCATAGCAGAGGTGCTCCTCTGGTCATTTTCGTGGCTTCCTCTGGAATTGTTCAAGCAGGTCCACGTCCTTCTTATGTTGAAGGCACCAGAACTGCACACAGTACTACAGGTGGAGTCTCATGAGAGCAGAGTATCACTTCCCTCATTTCTTTTGATGCAGCCCAGCATACAGTTGGCTTTCTGAGCTGCAGGCACATACTGCCAGCTCATGTTGAGCTTCTCGTCAACCAGCACCCCCAAGTCTTTCTCCTCAGGGCTGCTCTCAATCCAGTCTGACAGATGAACCACATCAGCCCTCTGTAGGCCAAGGTTCTCAAAGTCCCACAATCTAAGTAAGTGAACCCCTGGTTGTGGCACCAGTCCTGTAACTGTTTTGTGATTCACCAAATTTGTCTGGCCTTTTCAAACCCCTATCCTTGGAGCAGGAGGATTGATGAGAAAATGCTTGTGCTTGTCCCTTACCACCACTCCTAGGGCTCTGTAACACTTCTTAATACTCATCTGCCTGCTCCTGGCTGTATTGCTGGTGCCCACAACAGCAGTGGGTAACAGTCAGTGGACTGTATGAGGCTTGGTACTTGGCTTGAATATTAATATTTGAAGAGATTCATGCTACAGATAATATTCTGAAGTAAAAATTTAGTGCTTACATGTAATCTATGCTTATTTCCATGCAGTTCCTGTCTCTTACAGCATGCTTATGTCTTCTGCATTATGAACTTTCAGGACAAAGATTTTTATCTATGTTTTGAACAGTTCCTAATTACAGTTTTCAATTGAGCCTGTAAGAGGCTATCTTAATGTAAATGTTTGTAAGTCGTACTGTGTAGGTCTATGTGCAGAAAAGCTGTTTTTCTCGTATTAAAATGAACTTCTATGTTTCTGCTAGAATGACATAGTTGCTGAAATAGTATTCCTCTTTATTCATTAATGAATAATACAGGGTTTTAGTTTTCAGGATTTTGCTTCTTCAGAGCAATCTGTTACTACTATCCATAATGTAGGTCAGCTGGTGTTTGTCCTGACTCAAAGGCCTGAGGTATGAGTTTAGTAAGACAGCTACATAATAAAAATAATGTCCTTGTGCTGAAGCCCTTTGACTATTTTTGGAAGATGTGAGCTCACCTGGCTAATAACAGGGTTACAGGGTGGGGAGGCACAAATTTGGGAAAAGAACCACCTTTTATCGATGAAGTTGATCTATTAAGTGGAAAAATTGTAATGGCCAGTTATTTTGGATTTGTTATATTTCTAGCATTCTGACTTTCTTCTTTGCTTTTGTAGTGTGTTTTATGATGGAATTTTTTTCTTTTCATAGAGGAGTTGTGGTGAGGGCAGACAGGACAGATTATATTCAGAACTAAGTTTTAGAAATACGACTAAGTCTAGGCTATTAGACTTGCACTTTACAAGACTTAATACGTATCAATAATATTGATAGGCTGATAACACCAAATAACTATAAACATGTGGCACAATTATTTAACCTTAAACACACTTCTTTCACTTACATCTGTCCTGACTTTTTGAAGTTATGTATATTATACAAATTCCTGCATTAACTCTATTATAGAGGTTGGGAGGCAAGTCCCAGAACTACTTACTAACAAAAAAAGTTTTTTAAATACATTCTTTTTTCAATCTACTGTAGTATTTTCATGCTAAGCTACACTGGCATGTTTGGATTTTTTTATCCTCTTGATAGGAACTAATTCTGAAGCATCAAATGCTTCTGAAACAGAATCTGATCACAGAGATGAACTTAGCGACTGGTCAGCAGCCCCAGCAGAAGAGGAGCGAGACAACTACCTTCGTAGAGGAGATGGACGGAGACGTGGAGGTGGTGCAAGAGGGCAAGGAGGGAGGGGGCGTGGAGGATTTAAAGGTAAATGTAGACCTCATTTTGAAAAAGAGGTCAGTGTTGGAATCCTTATGCAAACTCACTTCTGTTTTGTCATCTGCTCTGTCCCAGTGGCCCCTTCCAGATTTCTCACCACTTTGTCAATCTCTTGAGTATTTTGTTTCAGATGTGTTGCATGTTAGCAGAGGGAGATAATCCCTTCTTTTGATCTTCTGGCCACACTCCTGCTAACACAACCCATTATTCAGTCAGCTGTCATTGTTGCAAGAGCCATGCTCATGTCTTACTCAAGTTGTTGTCCACCAGGACAGCTCCTTTTGTGTGAAGCTGCTGCATACAGTCAGTCCACAGTGTGTGCTGTTGCGTGGGGTTATCCTATTGAAGCTATGGGACTTGGGATTCATCTTTAAAGCTAATGAGTCTTCTGTCAGCCCATTCCTTCAGCTTGTCGAGGTCCTTGTGATTAGTGGCCCTGACCTTCTGTGTATCAAACAACTTCCCAGTTTGGTGTCATCTGCAGAATCGCTGAGGAGGCATTCCATACCAGTATCTCTTCATAGATTATGTAAAGCCTCTCTTCCCAATATAAATTTGGATAGCATTCTTAATCTTTTACTTTCCTAATATGCATCTTGTCTCAAGTTTGTGGGCTGTGCCATCACACATGGAGGTCAAGAAATTGAGTTCTAGTTTGTCAGTGGACATATAAAAGACTTTTTCTAATGTCTTATTAATTAGTTCATCTCTCTGTATTTCCATCTTCTTGTGTTTGATTTTCATGCAACAGGATTGCATAAGGTTGTAATTTGTGTTCATTGGAAAGGACCATGCAAAAGTAAGATGGGATAACTTAAGCTAAATACCTGTATTATGTAATGTGAAATTTTATTACTTACTTGCTCAAAAGTTGGCTACAACTCTGCTTATTTCTTGAAATGTTTTTTTCAGTAAGACCTTTTCTAAAAAAAAAAAAAAAGAAAAGTTAATGTGGGCTTTGGAAAGCAAAGAAGCTGTTAGAAAAAATGTGAACATATTAAACCCTGCTGAAATTGACTGTGTTCTTTTCTGTAGTTAATGATTTTGAGAGGTGTTTTTTCTTTAGTCAGTAGATAGTCTCTTTTACACTGTGGTGACTTTAAATGCTGTGGATTTGTCTGCTTTGATTACACCTGAGGACATTTTTATAATGGTTCTTGGCCCATAGTTTCAGAACTGTTACATGTTAAGAATATTTAATGCTCCTTAGAATGAAAATTTTAAAGTAATTCCATATTATGCGTGTATAAATCTTAAGTAGAAGAAGATGATGTGCCCTTGTCAAGCAACTTAGTCAATTAATTCTTCTTACAGGAAATGATGAACAGTCACGAACAGATAACCGTCAGCGTAACTCCAGAGATGCAAAAGGGAGAACAGCAGATGGATCTCTTGAGGTAATTCTTCTCTTATTGGATATCAGCAGTATTTAAAAATGCATGTGTCCTATGCTGACATTAGAGTCTTCAAAGTCCTAAGTGACACAGTAGCCTTGTGGTTCCTTATTCCCTAATTCCCTGATCAGATCTACAAGAGTTCTGTGTCATTTTTGTAACTTATATGTAGGAATCTCAGCATATCAAGCTGTGTTAAAGATGCAACTTTGTAATGTTAGCTTAGCTCTTTGTTTGGTTTAGAACTCAGATGGAGTCTGAAGGATTTACTAGCCAGTTTGATTCAGTCTTTATTCTTACTAACTTTTTGGTTTTAGCTTTTCTTTCTATGTGTTTTGTATTTGTATCTGTTGCCTATATACCTGAGGGAGAATTCTTAATGCTTTATATAAAGTGGGAGTGTGTTATAGCCAGAATCTGAGGAGTGAGAAAGATTAAACTTCAGAAACTACTTTCGCTACTAAATGAAACATTTGCAGGTGAAGGCTGTACAGTCTTGAAAGTAATTTAAAAGCACATTGAGAATCTGTTCAAGTCATACATTGAAATATTTTATAGAGTTAAATATTTATGGCCTTTTTTAAAGATACTTCTACTTTTTTTTTTTTTTTTCTTCAAGTATGTTTTGTTGCATATATTTATTCAGGCTGATATTTTATGTATATATTTAAAGTTTCCCCACATGGAAACTGTTCCTGCTTCGATGATAACGTGTGCAAACCTTCTACCATTTTTTACTGCATAGGATGAGTTATGTTGTGAGGAAGAAATAATGAGTAGCTGTAAGCTGCTGCCTTCTGCGTGGCGTTACCAGGAGTCATGGTTCCGAAGGGAGATGGAGATGACTCTTGGTTTGGTTTTAGAAAGCCGGTTTAAGAAAAGAGGGGATAAAAAAAAAATGGAACAAGTGACCAAATGCTTTGTTTTCCAAGTGGGAGTACTGAACCTGAAGGTGTAGTACCTGAATATGCATCTGAAATGCAAACAATTAATATGCCAAAAGAAAATTTTTATGGCCACACAACCTTTATAGTTAATCAGTAATGAACTGATTAAGTTTGCAATAGGCAGTGCAAACTTTCTAAGAGAAAAACAAACTTTCTAAGAGAATTGTGGTGCTGAAAAAGAAACTAAGGCACTTCTCAGCGAGTCATGATTTCTTTTTTTCCTGTTGCTCTGAGATTTTGGTAAGGTGATACTCTATGAAAGTAAGTACTTGTTAAGTAAGTTTTCAACAACATAAAACGATAAGTTGTAAAAATTTTATGAGGAATAAAGGTTTACTCCCCTTTACAAGCATAAAAATTTTGCTTTCAAAATGTTGTTTCGAATTTTTTTACAACCACTTAAAAAGGCTGCAGGAGTTTTTAGGTGAATTAAATGAAACTTTTCAGATTCGAAAGGTGGCTAAGTAGATTTTTTTTTTTGTTAGTATTGTTTAATGGCAGCTTTTCTATGGTTTTGGGTTTTTTGGTGTGGTGTTTGGGGTTTTTTTTTGGGTTTTTTTGGGTTTTTTTTTTTTTTTTTTTTTTTGACATTTTTGTGGCATTTTTGTCTCCCTGAAAAAAGAAGTACTAGGACAAGCAGCAAGTTCATCTGCTGTTAATTCTTCCTCTTGCACAGATGCACTGGAAAAAAATCTTAGCTCCCAAGGCAAGGTAGACAGGAAGTTTTTGGGGTTTTTTTTAGGTGAAGTATGTGGCAGTTTTGAGCAGAGAAGAATTGACGCACTCTCCATTTCAGCTGGATACATTCAACAAAGCCATAAGAGTGCACTACTATTTATGTCTTCTGACTAATGAGTAGTGCTGCTCCCAGGCTGCTCAGGTAGCAAATGCAGAAGGGGTGGATGAAAGGAAGAGAGGGCTTTATATAACTCTAACTTGTTCCAGATCAGAATTGACTGCAATAATGAAAGGAGTGTCCACACTAAAACATTACAGAATACCTCCAATGAAGGTAGTCGGCTGCGCACGGGTAAAGAACGTAATCAGAAGAAAGAGAAAACGGACAGCGCAGATGGTCAACAGCCGCTGGTGAATGGCGTCCCCTAAACTGCAGAATCCTGAAGTCATATTTCCTATACTGTTTCAGTAATTCCTATTCCATGTTAGAGAAACTTGTTAGGCCAAAGACAAATAGTAGGCAAGATGGCGCAGGGCATGAAATGAACATATGTTCTCTGTTAGCCTTTTTTAACATCAACAGTATGCAGTTGTTTTCAGAATAAGAAGTTATTCAAATATTTGCATAAAAATATCTGAACTTCTGAAAATCGCTTTCAAGTACATATTGCAGTTCAAACAATGAAAGATTCTTTTTTGTTTGTTTTAAAAATACTGAGCTGTGCATTGGTAAACTTTCTGTTCAGTTGTACCATTTTAACACATCGGGTCAAATTCACTGCTCAATTTCAATTTTCAGAATAAATAGTGTTTGCAGTAATCAAATTGGCTTCTGTTTTCAATCTAACTTACCAGTTCTTCATGAAATGCTATGTCGTTTTATGTCCTGTGTCAGTTCACATTCTGGTCCACCTTTTTCAATATTTTAGTGGACCCTGAAATATGTGTGATGTAACAATTGTCATTTTCATTAGCAAAAAAGTTGTATGATCTGTGCCTTTTTTATATCTTGGCAGGTAGGAATATTATATTTGGATGCAGAAATCAGGGAAGATGAGTTGGTAACACTAAATGTAAAATATATGTAGCAATCCTTGTCAGACGTTAGTACTTTATAGACAAGTGCATGCTTTCCATAATTTTTCCTTACATAAACATTGAGTTAGGCAGTTATAAGAATAGGAAATTTATTTTGCACTGAAGATTTGGCAAATAGTGTTATTGAAAAAGGGGTGTAATTTTTTTCTTTGTAGGCAGTACAGGAGCTTTTTCTTTTTTTTTCTTTTTTTTTTATTTTATTTTTTAAGAAAAAAATAAAAAAACCCCTTTCCATTGTGGAAAACTAAAAAAAAAAAAAAAAAAAAAAAAAACGAAAAACAAAACACAAAACTCATTGTTACTGAGGGAACAAGTGTAACGTGTTCACAAGCTAGTAATGTGTGCCTGCTGTTTGGCCAGATGACCAGTTTAAAGCGCTGATGTTTGTCATCCTCCCAGAATTTTTTGAATTGATTATTTTAGTTCAGGGGCCATCTCAGGAGAGGTTGGAAGAAAATGACCACATGTAATGCCCTGGAAAGTACAGATACAGTAGTTGGAGATACTGGAGGTAGAACAAATACTCATCATATTTCGAGGTACAAGGTCTGAATTACCAGCTCATTCTAAGGTGTCATGGATTTTGTCATCCAAAGTACAATTGTACACCAGGGAAGGCTGGGAAGTGGTGGGAGAAGCTGTGCTTTCTTTTATTTCTGATCATACATTAACTTACTGGGCAAAACTGTATAAGGACCTTCATTTTATTCCATTTTTATTCAGATTACTCCAGAAGGAGAGCCACTGTTTATGTACAGACTTGTACAAACTTGATCTGATGTATTTTGTGAGTTTCGTTTCTTTGCTTTTTTCATTCTTTTTTTTTCCTTGCATACAGGTGAGCATACTAAAAATGGCAACGAACTGCACATGATTTAACAAATATAAAAATGTCTTAAAAAGTATTGCCAAACATTAATGTTGATTTCTAGTTATTTATTTTGGGAATGTATAGTATTTGAAAACAGAAATTGGTACCTTGCACACATCATCTGTAAGCTGTTTGGTTTAAAATACTGTAGATAATTAACCAAGGTAGACTGACCTTGTAATGTAACTGCTCTTGGGCAATATTCTCTGTACATATTAGCTACAACAGATCGGATTTTATGTTGACATTTGTTTGGTTATAGTGCAATATATTTTGTATGCAAGCAGTTTCAATAAAGTTTGATCTTCCTCTGCTAACTGATGTTGATGCAATCCTTATAAATGATTGCTTTTAAAAATCTCAACTTACAGAAAGTAGAGAAAAAGCATTTCTTTGTTTAGACTTTAATGGCAGCCTTTGTTTATTTACACATTTCAGAAGGCTTCTAAAATGTTACCAGTTTTCAAAACTATGGCACATAACACTCAAGAAAACACAATCTCATGATGAAACGGTACAGTACCTGTTGAGTTGTCACACTACATGCACTGTATTTCTCACATTCAGTGGTTGAGTTCACTAAGGTGCTAACTAGGTTAAATGTGAAATTACTAAACTAGTCGACTCATTAGCTGCGTTCCGTTTTCAAGTGCATTTTGGGGTTATGACTTTCTTCAGTATTTGTGTGCTTAACATGTATCCCTTTCAATTCATATTGCAGTGGTTTTAAATGTTATTAAATTTCAACAAATTAAACTGTGAATCTACATGTACAATCTTATTTTGAAAAGTCATGTTGTTACAAAACTTGAAAGTGCAACGAATGTCTGATGCTTGAGTTCAGGTTCATCCTATTGGTAACTTATGAAGTATGGTCTAATGAATTAAAATTATTTTTAAAATAAAGTACTTTAAAAAGAGTGAGAGGTATTTGTGAATGATGCCAAAGTCTAAATTCAATAGGGTTAAGCTCAAAGCCTATAAATTAACAAACACTTATAAAAATAGGAAGTTTGTGTTTCCTGTACTAAATGCGTTTTTGTTAATGAAGGTGGGAAGTTAACATTTTTCAGAGTTTGTATAAAACTTTAGCAAGGGGGGGAAAAAAATCTTTGTATACAGCTTTTTTGAAACATAGATAAAAATTGCTACGAACATTCACAAGCTCAAGAATCAACAAGGTTTAATTTCTTGAATACAGGAATTATTTAAATTATTTAGTTCTAGATGAGCTTTTTCAGCCTTTTATGTCTCTAATATTAAGTACTGTGCACCATGCTTTCAACAATCCAGAAACAAAATTAAGCACTGTATGATACTGAGTATGGACTTCTTTTTCTTTGTGGGAGAACTTACTGTGAAAGATAACTTGTTTTCCTGAACTACAGTATGTTTCCCTGCAGAACCCTTCAGTACTGACATTAAAAGGCAATAGATAATTAGATTCCAGTGAGAGTTCCTCAGTCACTTCAGGAACCCTGCTGTATGGTTGTGGTAAGTGACATTTGATATTAATCTGCAAGAGGAAAGGTGGATCTCAAGTTTTATCGTGTGTATTTTTAAAGTTTTTGTTTATTTCCAGAAACAGTAAGATTTGTAGTGCAATACCTGATGGGGGGAGATGCTGATATTAGTTCTGGAGGTTGCCTTAAAGAACAATACTTAAGGTTTTCCATCCTAAAAGATGCTACTCAGTGTCTTTTTCAGATGTATTCACGTGTAATAGGGTGACTAGAACATTTAATGCCTTGACAGTGTAAGTCAGCTGTACCTGTGTTATGAACATAGGTAAGTGGGGTTTGTTCTTCCAAGTTGTGTTCTGAATAGATTCCAGTTTGATCTGCAAAGTTCTCCTTGCCAGAGTTTGACTAGGCTTAAGCACAGTACTTCAGAACCTCTTTAGTTTTCAGCAGTTTGAGTCTCCTGCAGCAAACTGTGGATCTTTGGCATGCGTCAGGGGATGAATCTTCTTTACTACTTGTAGCAACTTTTAACATGTATCCCATGTGTCAATCCTGCTTTCACAATTATGGAGGTCATCAATCTTGAGCAATTTGTGATGGAGATAAATAATTGCTACTAATCTGTAAAAACAAATAGTTGCCACTTCATGTTAAAAATTTCTTTACAATAGACTTCAGAGTAGTAATTTTTGTGTGCTTTGAGTGCTGTATGGAAGTAGATAATAAAAAAGGTCAACAGTCATAGAATGGTTTGTGTTGGAAGGGACCTTAAAGCTCACCCAGTTCCAACCCCCTGCCATGGGCAGGGACACCTTCCACTAGAGCAGGTTGCTCCAAGCCCCTGTGTCCAACCTGGCCTTGAACACTGCCAGGGATGGGGCAGCCACAGCTTCTCTGGGCAACCTATGCCAGGGCCTCCCCACCCTCACAGGAAAGAACGTACCCATAGATGACTGTTCCGTGTTTCTGCTCAGGATTCAATAGAAAAAGACTTTCTTAATTTTTCCTTTTTTTGCGCAGAATATAAGAAACTGATTTCCAATAAAAGCAGTGAATTTAAAGCAAAGAAAAAAAATCCATTAACATACTCTGTATAAAGGATCAAGAACTCAACTGCTGCAGAAATGGTGTAACAGAATTGTTTGGGGAGGTTTGGGTTATTTGATGGGGCTGAGCCTTCAGTGTAGACTAGAGTTGCAGCAAGGAGCATAAACAGTCCTAAATGTAATAGAAAATCAGTTAAGTGGTCAATGTGGGGACCAATTTTCTTGGAGTCTCAGCAATCTGAAAAGTCCTGTATTTGTGCATCAGAAATGCAGCACACTATGTGCAGTGTTCCATGAGAGGAAGCAATATGGAAGATCGTAATTGCATGTGAAATCATACGCTTCAGAAAATGAAGAATGCTTGTTCTGTATGAGACACATTTCTAAGAATCTTCTTACTGGTGCTGTTGAGAGTGGCTGTGTCTAGTCTGCATATAGAAAGTGAGGACACTATTGTTGCTTATAGTGGTGAGCTAATGCTGCGTGCAAATAAGGTTAAAGGAGTCACCCTTTAAACTCGCTTCTCAACTGAAATGAAGGAAAAAACCAGCCAACCACAACATTTGTGTGTGAATACATAGCAAATACACAGCTTTTTGTCAAGGTCTCTTACCTTTTCACATGGCTGTTGTAGGATACCTCTTTTCTGTAACATAAATTGTTCTAGACAGTTCAACTGGAGAACTTCTGATTTTGAGGCATCTTGAGTTTACTTTAGGTTTCTGTATTTCTAAAACTTTGTTCGTAGTCTGCGCAAAGAGCTTTAAGAAAAGGAATGGAAATATGGAACTTCGTGTCAGGCTGTGCAGGTATTTGGTGAACCTATGGGGTGATACCATTACCTAATTAATTCATGTTTAATAGACTTTTGAGAAGCTCTAACTTAAGATCTCTTAACTGAACTTTGTTTTGAGGAGTGTATTTTGATGTCCTGAGGTATTTACTGCCTGGCCTGCACAGTTATGTGGTGGTTCCACACTGAAATGTGGTTGGTAATAGCATAAACTTGGTTTTAACTTACTGAATTAGAAGATTAAGAGACTTAACTGTCTTGGGAAGGGGGGCTGATTTATTTCAAACTCTGTGTGCAGCTTTTTTCTGGCCTCTCCGATGCATTTATCACATCTGTACTGTTGATTCTGATCTGCATCATAGTAACAAGGAGCTCATTGTGATGAGCTTTGATTCCACGTTGTCATGCAAAACAAGTCCATAGTTGCAGTACTCCGGATAGCTGTAGTCTTCCTGTTCCAACAGTAGCAGAGAAGACAGCAAAAGTAGTATGTAATGAGGAAAACTGGAATTGTCTTTTTATCTCCCCTGTTTTTCTTCTCCCAGGAGGTGTTGTCCTGTATGGCATTAGATGTTAATAGGTATCTTGGCAAACACGATTTCTGTCCTCTTAAGAAATAATTTCACGTTTACCTACCAAAGCAAAGTTGCTCTGTGGGACAGAACATGTCTGTATATTGCTCTGCAGAACAGGTACATTCTAATGGCAGGAAAGCTTTCCTCATTTAGCAGGAGTGAGAGGGAACAGATCCTTCAAAGACTAATACCTGTGTAAAATGTCACCTTTTTCCTTGTCTGGCACTTCAGAAAATGGGGTTCTACTCCTTTACTAATACTAGCAAAAGAATCTCTAGGTTTAAACTGTCTTAAATATATGTGGTAATAATAACAAAAGACCCTTTTAGGGGTAACAACA